TCCAACCATCCCTTTTGCAAAAATAGCCAATTTTTTTTTAATTTCGTCATGAATAAGTCGGGTGACGCCATTCTTGTCAAAAATAAGCCAAATGTTCCAAAAAAGAGCGCCAGAATGCTGTTTTTGCAAGAACAGCCACCCTGAGTCATTTTCAACGGTTAGCAGACACAGCCTTAAAATCTTCTCCCCGAAGTGTTGAAAGGCCGTAACTGCAAAACGGCCGTTTGTTTTAAAATTGGAAATTGGAACAAAAATAGTGTCATTTTTTTTTCTTTTAGGTCAAAATAAGTGATTAAATCACCTTAATAAATGTGCAGGATGAGCACGATTCAAAATAAGGGGAACTTGCATATAGGCCCGCGGCGAGACCGAACGATGTCCCGCGGGCACCAGGAGCTTTAATGTATTCATGATTGTCTTTTGAGTCTGTATTTCCTTTTCTACCAGAGTTTGTCTTTTGAGTCTATATTTCCTTTTCTACTAGAGTTGATCATTTGAGTCTGTATTTCCTTTTCTACTGGAGTCTGTATTTCCTTTTCGTTAAAAGTCAGTCAGTTGATAGAGTCTGTATTTTCGTTTAAAGTAGAATAGGGATGATGGAGTCTGTAGTTCTTTTCTACATTAAAGTCTGTTAGTTGTTTAATCTGTCAGTTTTGAGTCTTTGTAATAGACGTATTTTCTATCAATAAAATTGAAAATCCCAAAAAATATTTTGCTTCTACTTTACATTTATTCTGCAAGAACTACGCTCGGTCTGATTCACGCGGGGTCGTGATACGTAGGCAATCTCCATAGGATTCAACCATAACCAAAAGAAAAAGAAAAAAAACGAGAAAAGAGAGGAAAAACCACAAAAGGCAAAAAGAAAAAAAAGAGCGGAAAAACAAAACTCAAGAAAGGAAGGAAATAGGAACGAGAGAGGACAAAGGCAAGAGTAAAGAAAAAAGAAGGAAAAAGAAGAAAAACAAAGGAAGAAAAGTTTGCAATTGGAAATAAGGAAAAGCCGGGATGACGCATGCGCCCGATCACAAGTTGTTACCAATGTGTTAAATGCCCTAACGCTAACGTGATGGTTTCATTTTGCCATATCATTTCAGACAGGTGGTTGGTTTGTGGTTTTAAAAGTAACTTTTCCCTGCAACACAAAGGCAAAAGGCAATGGCAGAGAACAACAGAACTGAGTTGCTTGATACTGATGTTCGACAACAGTTGGTGGAACGGGATAATGGGTTGGTTGAAGAGGTGCGGGTGCTGAGACAACACATGACAAACATGTGTTAAGCCTGGATGACTGGAAAGGCGCCACCCCCGCCACCACCAATTTTCCCGGACGCTACCCAAACTCCCAACACAATGCCGGATGATCCTCCATATTCTCTAGATACACCCGCTTATCACGCTCGCCCCAACTACCCTAGTAGCTCCATCGCTCATCCTTCAATCACTTTTCCCCAATATTGCCCTCCTGTCATATCCGTCACCCCAGACAATGAACATCCACTCAACGCACGTAATGCCCGATTTCACCCTTCAGAGGTTGCCCAGAAGGTCCTTGATCCATACAAGAAGAGCTCCCAGGACGAGCAGATTCATGGTAGAAATGAAAGGGTTACGGGAAGAACAGGGCGAGAAGAGGTACCCAGGAAATTGANAGTTAGTTTTGATTTAAGATCTGAATTTGAACCTGGTTCTAGCTGGTTAACCATGGTTAGTCAATAAGGTTGGGGTTGAATTAGTAATTCCAAGCTAGTTCAAAGGGTAGTTTAGCCAGGAAAAAGGGTAGTCTCATTAAGATTGGTAAATTTAGAACCAAGGTAAGGGTAGAATAGGAATTGTAATGGGTATAGAACCTTCTAGGATGGACTATAGTGCAGGTTTCAGTAAACTTAGGGTAGTTGCTTGTGGAACAAGCCAAGAAGCAAGGGGTAAAAATATAAATAAAGAGGGACTAAAAGGCAACTGCAAATCGGAAATACTCCTGAAATTCTGCCTATAAAAGGCAGTGTATTCTGCCTTGAAGGAGGAGGGTTTTTCAACTCCAAAATTTCTTTCCCAAAATTTCCTCTCCAATTTCAGATCTGATTTGAAATTCAAACCTTCAAAAATCCAAAAACAATAGAAATCTAATAGAAAAATCCCAAAAAATTACTGTTACATTAGTGTTACTTAGGTCATTTTCAGATTCGATCATTGAATTCAATTCTCTAGCTCATATAGGATGAAAGCTACTTGAATTTCCTTGTGTTTTGTTCAATATTTGAGGATTGAAGACAGTTTGAGTCATCTAGGCAGTGGATTTGGGAGATTCGAGTCAACTGTGATCTTAGTTTGAGTGTTTTACTTTCCTGTGTTCATTTCTGGGTATTCGAGCTGGTTTTGGATTGCTTCAGTGATAGAAATTGTTGTTGTGTTCGATCTATCGCTGGAGTTTCAAATCTGTTCCTGAATTTGCTGTGTCAACTGATTTATTACTGAATTTTGAACTTATTCCTGGGTTGCTGCTGAGAACTGTTACTGCTGCTGATCTTTTCTTCTTCTTATTGATCATTGACTTCCAGGTACACGCTTGAATCTACTCTGCTGTAACTTTGAGCTTGAAATGGAATACAATTACTCACCTATTTGATCCTGAAATATGCTGCCTGGACTGTGGGGTGTTGGTAGTTAAATAGGCGTTAAATTTAATTGTACAGCATAGTTTAGAATCGATTTGTATGTGTATAAATCTGGACTGTATAATTAAGACTGGATCAGACTGCTTTTCGATACTGTTTAGACATTTGAAATTGATTGTAGTTCATGTTCTCAATATCTGAATACTGCATATAAAGGTTAAGAACTAGAAGTCCTGAATATGAGCCTGTTTTATTGTAAAACTGCAGCCCCGTTGTATTAATTCGAATAGGCCTGTTAATATTAAGCCAGGGTATTTGCACTACTCATGCTGAGCTTACACAACTCTAACAGTCTGTTGTAATTGATGGCCACTCTAGTGTACCAGTCACGTGCATTGCATTTAACATGCAATTTGATGCTTCCTCCGGTGTGATTTTCACCGTTAGTGACATCTAGGAACGCACCAGTAGGCAAATAAATAAGTATACTTTGTTCTTCCTTGTATAAGTCATTGAATACAATTAAAATAGCCTGAAGTAACTCAGCAGATTTACATTTGTCGATTTGAGGTTCTGATTGGTTTGGCATAGGCCCAGGCCCAGTTTTGACTCCATTCTCGTTTGGGCCTGGACCAAGGCGTTTGATAGACCAGTTGAAAGCATGCAGACCTGAGTGTATTTTCTCCTCGTTGGGCTTATTTTAGAGCCCAATAGCTGGACTGTGATGCATAATTACCACTTAGCCCAATAATGAATTAAGTAGGACTTTTTCCTCCATTACTAGAGACAAGTAAATAGAGAACCATAGTTGTTTTAGGTTTGCCTTTAAATAATAAATGAGATGAGCCTCACCAAGCAAAATACACAAATTACGAGGCCCTTAATAAATATTTTATTAATCTTTAGACTCCGGGACGAGCCGTTTAGCGAATTTCACGGTTTTCCCCAAAGATGATAACGCGTAGTTGCTGTAGGCGCGTATTTTATAATATTACTTTCCTAAATTCGGGTGCACATTTATGTGACCCTAATCTAAATCTCAACGGAGTCGAAATGCGTCAAAAGCCACGGGTGCACTGGTGTGACGTGGTTCGAGATACATTTTCACGACGTTGCAATTCTTATTAAAAAGACATAAAATAAAAGCGGTTAAAATAAAAGGCACATAGGTTAGAATATGTTTTAAAATCAGATAAAAGCAAATACAACAGTTGAGCGACCGTGCTAGAACCACGGAACCCGGGAATGCCTAATACCTTCTCCCGGGTTAACAGAATTCCTTACTCGGAGTTCTGGTTCGCGGACTGTTAACAGAGTCATAATTTCCTCTGATCGGGATTCAACCGGTGACTTGGGACACCATTAATCTTCGAAGTGGCGACTCTGAATATTAATAATAAATCCCGTTCCGATTGTCCTTTAATTGGAAAAACTCCTTTACACCCTCGCGGGTGTAGGAAAAAGGAGGTGTGACAAGTTGAATCAAACCAGTGTTTTAGCAAATCTCGACCTCGAGCTGTGATGGCCTCGAGGTTGGTCAACAAGAACAGTAAAATAAAGACAATAAAATTAAGAGACAATTCTGATAAAATGTGAGCAAGAGAGTAAGAGAGTATATTCTTTTGCCAATGATTGATTATGGTTACAAATGATTAGGGCCACTTTTATATAGCAGGGGAATCATAAATAAGGTACGTTTCTATGTACAGTAAGGAATCTTATTGGGACAGTTGTCTAACCGCCTAGTACGGATTCGTACCAACTCGTACAAATCTATTCCGGAATTCACGCCATTCTTGGGGACGTGGCGAGAATCTTGCTCTTTCTATTACAAACCCATAACGACATCAGCTCGGGGTTGGGCATACTCGGCTTCGGTACTCATTGCGTACTTCGGTCCTCGAGTCTTGTACTCTGTCATCGGGCTCGAGCTTGGTCCATCGAGCTCGAACTCGACCCATTCTGAACTCGGGCTTGAAGCGACCCCTTGAGTTCGTGAAATCGGGCATACCTGATTTCGACCGTATACAGATAGTCCCTGCGTTTCTTAAAGTAAGATGATAAGAAATGATTTGATCCTCGATCCTCCGATACCCCGATCATGATGTCAATCTCATGACGTCAGCGACTGAAGTGATTGAAAGGTCACTTCTGCATTGTTTCCAAGGCCATTAATTGAAGGAGACTGATGGTCGGCCATTAGCTTCCCCAAACCATTAAGGAGACCACTATAAATAGGTCAATTTCACAACATTTACAATCTTTACTTCTCAAATCTTTCTCAAAACCTCATTAGCTTCTTCATCTTCTCTGAGTTTACCCTTTCCTGAATTTGTTCTTGCTACAACATCATCTCCTTCTCTTCTTTTGAATTTCTCAACAACAATGGCTAAAACATCTAAAACCGTTCCTCAGGGAAAAAAAGCCTCCTCATCATCGCGTCCGGCCAGTGGTAGAACGGTGGTGCCACCTCGTATCGAAGAGTGCATTCCCGGGCCGTGCGAGCTATCTTCCGATTTTAAAATCGATAAGCCTGCATCAGTTCCAGGCCGATGTGAACCCATGTCTCGATACATCTGTTTGATAACTGAATATGAACTTGAGCAGGTGAAAAAGGATTGTAATTAGGAGGATAAAGATGTTGTAATCCCTTCCCCCGAAGAGGATATTACCACCTATGTGGCAGGGTATTCAAGCGTGTATACTTACCCTTTCACATTAGTTCCCGTAGATCCGGCACTAGATCTCGTAGACCCAGTTATTCTCGATTTCTTTCACCAATATCAGGTGACTCTTGGCCAGATCTACCCTTCCTTTTGGCATATCGTCAAATTGCTCAGGTTCTTCTCGGGCAAGGTCGAAGGGGGGTTGGCTTTTACACTTGACCATCTAATCAGGCTATATAGCCCTCGCCTCTATCGAGGCGGTTTGATAAAGCTCCAGCGTCGATCCTCGAAGTCGCTATTCTCCAGTATCGATGAGGACAAAGACCGGGGGTGGATGAGTCGCTTTGTCCGCATCAGAACTTCCGATTTGATTCCTGCTGAGAGGATGCCATTCCCCAAGGAGTGGAACATGAAACGTAAGTACAAACTTATCGATGATGATTAATTTCTGCTTTCCCTATTCCTCCTCGATTTAGCTCCCTTTTGATGATGCAGTTGCCCCTTGGTTCCCTGGTGTGATTCCGGACCTTGCAGGTTGGGTCCGACAATTGGCCTCCACTTCTTCATACGCGGAACGCAGTTGGCGTGATTTGGCCAAGGGTCGATGGGAAGCTAAAAACCATGGTGAGTTCCCTTATTCACATATTGGTGTTTCTCATTGAAATACTCACTTTACCCTTATGCAGGCCTCAGAGACGATGTTGCTATGCGGCCGCCCCCGCCCAGTGAAGAGGAAGTCCCAAAGCCAACCAAGGAGAAGAAAAGGAAAAGGGCTTCACCTGCAAGTTACCCGAAGCCCATGAAAAGTAAGGCTCGAAAGCCTAGGGCCAATCCTGCGGCCCTATCTGCAGAAGCGGTCCAACACCTTCGTAATGACGAGGAAGAGGGAGAAGATGAGGACTGCCTGTTGGTAGCTCGGAAAAGAGGAAGCACCGAGGCTTCAAAATCTGCCGAACCGGTGATGGCTGATATGGTTCATTCTCGAACAGAAGAAATATCGGAGGGGGGCTCGAGCAGAGTCCCCGAGCCATCGGGTGGCAAAAGTACGTCTCATCCGGGAGGTCATTTGGCGGGCGAGCTCGAGGAGCCTAGTTCCGAGGCCCTCCAAAGAAAAGATAGTATCCCAAGTGAATCACGTGGGATAATTAATATAGATGACTCGCCGATGGGCCCTGTGTTCTCCGAAGGGAAATTCCGAGAAGCCCAAGCCATGAGTACTCTTGATGTGGGAACGACACATAAGGGAGTGATATTTTTCGGGAGTGCCTTGCAGGGGTCGAAGATGACCCTGGCCCTAACGCCTTGTTTATCTTTGATGAGGCTCAGAGGCTTCTCAAACAGGTAAGTTCCTGCCTTCATAATTATGCTCGAGTTTTATTCTCGTTTTTCTAAGTCTGACTCATTTTCTTTGTGTGAAGGCCGTGGCGCTTCATCGACAAGCATTTTCCAAATCTCAAGCCGAGCTTGCCCGATGCGAATCCGAACTCAAGAAGCTGGTGGAAGAGAGGGATATCTTTAAACGCCTCTATGTACAGAAAGAGGAGGAGGTCAGGGATCTCCGAGTTGAATTGACGAAGGCTCGTCAACAACAGACTGAGGTCATTGAAAAGGTAATGTAGCCTTTGAGGGTCTGTTATGTTTTCATTTGATTTAGCGATTAACACTTCAACTTTGCAGGCCCAATAGAAGGGCGAGCTGGTGGAGCAGCTTCGAGAAGAGCTCAAGGGGAAAAAGGCCGAGACCTTGGGGTGGAAGCAACACATGGATCGTCTCGCCTCGGAGAAAGATACACTTTGGGACCAGCTGACTTCGATCGAACGCCAGCTTCAAAATGCAAAGAGGGAAATCTTGGCCCAGAACCGCAAGATTGAGGAGCTCGAAGCTAAATCAGTCGCTGAGCTTGCGAAGGCCAAATCTGAGGCAGAGGCATTTGTGGCCTCTTATCGAGCTGACGCCGAGGCTACTAATATTCGGGCACAAGAAATCTCCATCGCTGCTGAAGTTAAATTATCATGTGCTCTCGATCACGCCAGGTGACAATCCCGGAGAGAAACTCTCGAGGAGGTGCACACTCGTGGCTTCGACCTCTCAGCTGATATTGAAAAGGTAAAAACTTTGGAGGACGAGGCTGCCGCTTTACTTTCTGATGATGAAGATTCTACCAGTGGCTCCGAGAGCGGAGGATATGAGGATGAAGTCCCCGAGGAGGAGATTCCCAAAGATGTGGCTCTCAAAGATCCCGAGGATGCGGTTCCCGAGGACGTGGCTCCCAAAGTAGATTAGGCTCTTTTGTTTTTTGTTTTTGTGTAAGGCCCCCTGGTGGGCACTGTAAATACCCTTTATGCATAGAAGGAACTCTTTTTCTTTCCGCTCCATCTCCGATTTATTTTGAATTCTGCTTCGTCTTTGTTTTGTGAAATTTTTTGATATTATAACTTCAATGATCGAGCGAGCACTGGCTCGGACTCAGAGTAGAACAAACCCTTAGGTTTTTTAGTAATCAATGGGCGATCTTTGAGATTATAATGGAATACCTCTTAAGGTTTTTTGACGAATCCTCGAGCTGTGCTTAAGTCGATTTGACGTGAGCTCGGGATAATGGGACCCTTAGGTCCGAGTTGAGTGAGAACAAGGTCTCGAACTCTAAGTGTATCGACCTTTTAGGCTTACTAAATCGGCCCTTAGGATCTTTTATGTTGGCCCTTAGGCTCTTTTAGGTTGGCTTTTAGGCTCTTTAAGTTGGACCAATTCGGCCTCTAGATTGGCTATAATTTTTCCCTCTTTTCGGCTAAAAGACTTAGTGAAAATTTTATGCCTTAGCATGTGTTTTTTGTACCCGTTGGGTTTTTCGAGGGTTAAATCGATCAGAACCCAATTTTTTTTAAACCTATTTGTGTTAAGATAATTCAATACTTCTTAAGGCTTTTTCGAGGGCTGACATTATCGAAGCCTTTAGATTATTCGAGGGCTGATTTTATCGAAGCCCTTTCTTATTTACTTTGCCGAGTGTAGCCTTATTTAACCTGTTTTTCAAAGTATTTGAAGGCCTTTAACTTATGGTGGAAGTTGGACGTCTCCGAGCCGCATTATTTCGGCCGTGCCTTTTTATATGACAGTAGTCTTTAATATGGCCGTAGCCTTTAGGTGTGTCTCTTGGACTTGTTTCCCGATAACCTTTCGAACTTGTTGGAAAGGTTAGTCCCCGAGTATGATGGCCTTGGCCTTTGCATTTAGGGATGCCTCTTTGAGGTCTTATAAATTCGAGTTTAGATATTCGAATGTGTTGACTGTCGATGACAGTCCCCGAGTATTCGAGGTGTATTCGAGTTTTGGCCCTTGAGCCGTTTCTTACGGGATCACAAGTATGATGTTCGTACAGTAGCAAATTTCTTTGAGACACAAAGTGTTTTGATATAGAAAGAATGCTTCTTTGAATAATTGATACATGCGTACATGTTTTGCCGTCGGGGCTTGACTATTCTATATGGACACGGTTAATCTGACCGTTTGGCCCATTACAAAGTTTTCCTATCGAGGCCCTCTTTGGCGTGAAGTATTTTCCTCAAAAATATAACCTCCGAGGGTGATGCCCCCCAGTATTCGAGGTTGATTGAAAAGAAGCCTTGGATACTATTGAATTCTCCTTAGGTAGCACATAGTTGTTGCCTCGTTAAAAACCTCGCCGGAAAAACCCATTTGGGATAAAACCCGATCAAAGGGAAAAAGAGTGTAACGCGTGCTTTAAAATCTAAGGCCTTCGTGTAGAAAGGTGCCCTCGACGTCTTTGATCGAACACCTGCAATGAGTTAGTTTTAAATTCGAATGGAGAAAAGGAGAAAGTCATACCTTAGCAGTAGTATCGTTTGAGTAGCGATACATTCCAATTGTTTGGCAATTGTTCGCCTTCCATCGTGCCAAGTTTGTAAGATCCTTTACCGATAACTCCTATGACTCGGTACGGTCCTTCCCAATTCGGGCCTAGTTTCCCTTCATTCGGGTCTCGAGTATTGAGGGTGACTTTCCGTAGAACTAGGTCCCCAATTTCGAAGTGTCGAAGGTTGGTCCTTCTATTATAATATCTCTCGATTCTTTGTTTCTGTGCGGCCATCCGAATAAGTGTAGCTTCTCGTTTTTCATCTAATAGCTCGAGGCTAGTATTCATAGCCTCGTGATTTCATTCCTCCGATGCATGTCAAAATCTGGTGCTGGGTTCCCCGACCTCTACTGGAATTAAGGCCTCAGAGCCGTATGCTAAAGAGAACGGGGTTACCCCCATGCTAGACTTTGATGTCGTTCGATATGCCCAAAGAACCTCCGGTAGAACTTCTCTCCATTTTCCTTTTGCGTCGTTCAACCTTTTCTTTAAGTTTTGAATGATAGTTTTGTTTGTTGATTCGGCCTGTCCGTTCCCGCTCGGGTGGTACGGTGTCGATAAGATCCTCTTTATTTTGTGTGCTTCGAGGAACTCCGTTACCTTGTTGCCGACGAATTGCTTCCCATTGTCGCATACAATTTCGGTAGGTATCCCGAATCGACATATGATGTGGTCCCAGTTGAAGTCAATAACTTCTTTTTCTCTGACCTTCTCGAAGGGCTGTGCTTCCACCCATTTAGAAAAGTAGTCAGTCATAAACAAAATAAATTTAGCTTTACCTGGGACCGTTGGCAGAGGGTTGACGATGTCCATTCCCCATTTCATGAAAGGCCATCGGGACATGATTGAGTGAAGTTGCTCTCCGGGTTGATGAATCATCGGTGCAAACCTTTGACATTTATCACACTTTTTAACAAACTCCTTAGTGTCTTTTTCCATGATATCCCAGTAATACCCTGCTCTAGTAATTTGCGAATCAAGGACTCGGCGCCGGAGTGATTCCCACAAGTGCCTTCAAGGATTTCTCGTAGAACATAATCGGTGTCCCCCGGTACTAAACATAACGCAGTGGTCCATCAAACGTCCTCATGTACAATGTTCCTTCCTCATCCAATATGAACCTAGGAGCCTTGGTTCGTAGAGCCCTTGACTCTTTGTGATCCGATGGGAGCTTTCCATTTTTCAAATATTCGATATACTTATTCCTCCAATCCCAAGTCAAACTTGTAGAATTTATCTCGGCATGACCCTCTTCAACCACAGACCTTGATAATTGGACGACAGTCCCTGGGATAATATCATCTTCTTCAACTCATGACCCCAAGTTAGTAAGATCATAGGCCTCTCTGTTTTGTTCTCGAGGCACATGATCTAGAGTCCACTCCTTGAAGCAGTGCAAGGTTACCTGTAGCTTGTCCAAATTTATTTGCATCCTATCCTCTCGAACTTCGAAGCTTTTATTTACTTGGTTTACCACCAACAGAGAATCGCACTTGGCTTCAATGACTTCTGTCCCCAATCTATTAGCTAGCTCGAGACCTGCAATCATGGCCTCATACTCGGCCTCATTATTAGTCAACCTAGAAGTTTTAATAGATTGTCTAATACCGTTACCTGTAGGTGGCTTCAAAACGATGCCAAGCCCGGACCCTTTCACATTCGAGGCACCATCCGTGAAGAGGGTCCATACCCCCGATGATGTTCCAATTTTAGCAGAAGTTCTTTTTCCACTTCGGGTACGAGGGTTGGTATAAAATCGGCCACGAAGTCAGCTAAGATTTGAGACTTGATGGCCGTTCGGGGTTGATATTCGATATCGTACCCGCCAAGTTTGACTGCTCATTTGGCCAACCGGCCTGATAGCTCGAGCTTATGTAAAACATTTCGGAGAGGATAAGTGGTTAACATACATATTGGGTGACACTGGAAATATGGCTTTAGCTTACTACACGCGCTTATTAATGCAAGTGCTAATTTTTTTAAGTGTGGGTATCTAGTTTCAGCATCTCCTAAAGTCCGACTTACATAATAAACAGGGAATTGCGTACCTTGCTCTTCTTGAACTAGTACCCCACTTACCGCTATCTCGGACACTGCCAAATATAAGTAAAGCTTTTCATCTACCTTCGAAGTGTGAAGCAGAGGTGGGCTCGATAAATATCGTTTCAATTCCTCTAATGCTTGCTGGCATTCCGGGGTCCATACGGAATCCTTTTTCTTTTTGAGTAAGGAAAAGAACCTGTGGCTTCGATCCGATGACCTCGATATAAATCGACCCAAGGCGGCTATCCATCCTGTTAACCTTTGTACGGCTTTCACGCTATCTACGATAGTGATATCTTCGATGGCCTTGATCTTTTCGGGGTTGATTTTACTCCCTCGATTTGATACCATGAATCCGAGGAACTTGCTCGAACCGACCCCGAAGGCATATTTTTCTGGGTTAAGCTTCATGTTGTACTTCCTTAAGATTTTGAATGTTTCCTGCAAATGAGTTAAATGGTCCTCTGCACGCAGGGACTTAACCAACATATCGTCAATGTAAACTTCCATTGATTTACCTATCTGTTCCTCGAACATTCTGTTAACTAAGCATTGGTATGTAGCTCCAGCATTTTTAGCCCGAAGGGCTTAACATTGTAACAGTATGTTCCAAACTTAGTGATAAACGAGGTCTTCTCCTAGTCCTCCGGGTTCATCTGAATTTGATAGTACCCAGAGTAGGCGTCGAGAAAGGTAAGGATCTCGTGGCCGGCCGTGGCATCGATCATGCGATCGATGTTAGGTAGTGGAAAAGATTCTTTAGGGCATGACTTGTTCAAATCCTTATAATCTATGCACATTCTAAGTTTGTTCCCCTTTTTAGGGACTACAACTACGTTGGCTAACCATTCGGGGTATTTTACCTCCCGAATAGACCCTATTTTAAGGAGTTTAGTTACCCCATCCTTTATGAATGCATGCTTCACCTCGGACTGGGGCCTCCTTATTTGCTTTACCGATTTGAACCTGGGGTCGAGGCTTAGCCGGTGTGTTGTTATTTCCGGTGGGATCCCTATCATGTCTAAATGGGACCAAGAAAAATAATCCATATTATCGATAAGAAATTGAATGAGTTTTTTACTGAGTTCGGGGGTTAACCCCGTTCCCAGGTATACCTTTCTCTCGGGCATGTACTCGATCGGTATGACATGTTCCAGTTCCTCGATCATTGACTTGGTTACATCTGACTCTTCGGGAACAACGAAAGTTCGAGGAGTAAGGAAATCCTCTTCTTCTTTGATTACCTGTTCCTCTGGTTCGGTCAAGGCTGGGGATGGTGATTGCTATTTGGCCGTCTGCTTATCTTGGTGCTTGATTTTTTCGAGGTCAAAGGCACTGGTATCGGTGTCACCTCATCGACTGCAAA